CCATACTGTGCAGTGTATCAATTCTTGGATGAAGTCGCAGGTTCCAGATACGAAGCAGCATGCTGAGATTGATCGACGTGCCAGGGAGTTTAAGGAAATGTACGAGAAACTCGATGCTGGCCAAGCACCGTCTCTACAGCGGATGTTGGTGAGTTGGGGCATGGAGCCCAGTGATGCAACCAAATTCAAGCCAGGGGAGGCTCTCAAGCTCCTCACGATTTTGAACCATTTGCACCGCTGACTTTGTCCGCATTTTGCGGATGCATGCATGACCAGTTTTGACTTACAATTCATGGGATCAACGAAGTTTGTCCTAGATGCAATAATTCACAAGTTTTTCCGGTGGATACAACCAGTCCGGAAGACCTTTTTTGAACAATTCAACTATTTCTCCATGCGGAGATACCTCTGGTTGGAAACGATGCTTTTCACCAGGTTCGTTCTGTTGAAGAACATGTGCAGCACCACGACGAAAACATGGATCAAATTAGCACGGTTTCTCAAATCACAAGAGATCACAGGAAATTCTACGTTTGAGCAATTCCACTCGCCAGGATGGGTGTATTTAAAAACTTCTTGCGTCCAAGAGCACGCTACCTGGTGGTACGTGGGCAGTACAACAAATACACCTATGGATAGGGAATATAGTCGCTATTGAAAGTATGAGCAACTGCGTAAAGGAGTTGACGCCTTCTTTGAACCAGCACTGAAGATTTGGCAGAGCACCCAAACATTTTTTCATTTCATCATAATTCCATTGCAGCAAATTGACGATGAAATTGCATTGCGAGCAGCAGAAACGACATTAATCGGTCAGCTCAGGCCTATGTTGAACCACCCATTTGTCAATCCATTATTGAAGAAACACGGCGTTGCTGCCCCTTTGAATTTTTCTATGCCTTGTGAAACAGCCGGCAAGCGTGTACACGATCGTTTCTCCTTCCTTGCTAACTGTGCCCTGGACGAATCTGCCATGAGTCGCATGTGGAAGCAGCCTACACACTTGTTCGAGCTGTTGTACTGGCTAGGATGCACAACTCGACGAAAGTTCCATGCAGCACAAGTTCTACGGAGTTCGCAGGTAAACCTTGAGTTTCTGTACATGCTTTACAAACTTGTACACCAGATAGATGAACCCTGGCGCACGCGTGCGCAACGATCGCTAAAAAACTGCCTTGAGTTCAAAGGTGGGCATGCCCCCCCCGCGAATGTGCCAATGTTGCTGTTGCCCCTGCAGTGCGATGTGAAAGACCTAGTTCGAACGTGGCTTCGAGAGCTGCTGCAACATCATTCCTGTTTGTTTCCCTGGTTTCATGTACCAACCACACATGTTGTTCTGCGACGAAACAGGCCTTTTTCAGATTTCGTTTTCAATTTCCATTCTTTCTTGCAGAGCTGGTCCCCAGACGAATGCGTGTTTGAATGTATGGCTTGCGGTACATTTGATTATGGAGATCATGTACGTTCAACTGGACATGTGTTCAGCACAGCAAGTGGGTTGTTTCCAACGTTACTGGTTGGACATCTGAACTTAGCTGACACCGTGTTTCCATCACAAAGACGCTGGATCACAGATGCACAACAACAATTTGCTAAATGGTGCGAAAGATGGCGGCTAGGAAGACGGTTCACAACCATATGGAACTACATGTGTCACTATATTTGGCAACAACATGTCCAAGCAGTTTCCCGTGACGGTGTTTGTACATTCCAAGCCCTGTTTCGTGAATTGCGTAGTATAAGAAGGTTCGTCATTTGCCCAGCTGATCACCATCCTCATCGAGCTCATTTGTGTTGCCCACATCATTATCACCACCTCCTCATGAAAACGTTCATGACACCTGACGTGTTTGTCAGATGTTCTGTCGGTTGGAACACAGTTTTCCCACGAGTTATGGTCGATTTGGGAGATAGCCTTCCACCTCACTTGCGAAAATTGGCCTCACCTGGTGGAAAGTGCCCATGTGCGTATATTCTTCCCAAACCTAGCAAACATTTTGAAGCGGCGCGTCCGATCATTGCATATACAAACAGTTGGAACAACCGATTAGGCGAAGTCATTGGAGGGGTAGTATTACAGCTGATTCGGTCATTATTTCGTGAGACATCGCTGGACAAAGACGTTGTTCAAATCATGCGGGCAATTCATTATGTGTTTGATGATTTACCGAGCCATCTGCCTATAAACATGGACCAACAAGACTTCTCAGGTTTTTTCAATTCGGTACCACATTCTCGAATGGTCGACAGTGTATGGTATGCGTTGCATGTGTATTGTCACAAGTACAATGTGTCTCTGGACAGCACTATTACTTTCCAACTTCAAGATCGTGAATCTGCCCAACGAATTTTTCGTGGTCGGTATCGACGAGCTGGCAATCGTACGACGCAAGTCAGTTTGATTCATCTACCTGCAATGGTTTCCTTTCTTCTACGTAATTCATATTTCATGGTTGGTCGGCATCTGTTTAAGCAAGTTCAAGGTGCTAGTATGGGTTCACACTTTGCCCCGGCGTTATGCGGACTCGTAGCAGCATGTCAAGAACACATTTTTTCCAAAACATTCAAGGATATGATCGCGGCAAATCGACTGTTGTGCAATACCCGATATGTGGATAACCGGGCTATGATGGGCTTTGGATCATGGCGTTGTTCTCCTATTTGGTCCGTCTTCACACATGCAGAATTCTATGGAGCGCCTATTTTGCTTGAAGAAGTGTCTGACCCAATATTATTGGGGGTACACGTCGACACAGATCAAAGAACCACTACAGTTCGTTTCCATCATGATATGAGTCACTATCGCTCCAGCATTAGTCAAGGATCCGATCTTGCCTTGTCTTCAGCATTTGCAGCGCGCTTACTGATGGTCCTCAGATACACACACCCAAAATCGCTGGTCATTCCTCAAATTCAAGATCTTTGTGTTATTGCGTTGCGCTCCGGATTGACAATGCGCGCAGTGAAGCAACAACTTTGGAACTGGGCGGCCAAGATTCGAAACAACACTGACCACGCCGATAGGACGCGTTCCTGGATTATTGAACAGATTCTGATTCCAACCGTTCTTGATGAATGTGCGCAGTAAAAAATGCAGAACGCTGCGCTGACCATACATGTGATACCACAACCGGATATGACGGTCACATTTCTTTTGATCCGTTAAATCATCTACAGGTGATGGCGACTGGGCAAAGCCGAAAAACCCAGGATTTCACGTTTAAATAGACGAACAGATAATAAATAGATGCTTTCGTGCGACATGTGGCGTCACAAGTGTGCTTGACACTGAGTGCGCTAGGATATAGGTCGAAATAAACGCACGAAACTTTGTTGCCCCTTCTCGCCGGACATTACGCGCGTCCTTAGGAGTCATGGCGTTACCCAGGTATAAGGGTTGGCAGGTTCATCCAACAAGGTTTCTGTTACTGCAGCAGCCAATTCTGGCGCCTACCACACCCAATCATGGTATAGAGCAGTTTTGGAGCAGTTTTCGTTCGATTGTAGCTAGCGCCATTCTACAAATTACATGCGCTCACACTTGTCATAGCAAGTTTTGCCCCGTCGTGGGGCGTGTGTGTGTAAACCCTTCTAGCACAGGGAATGGTTAACTACACATGCAGGGGGGCAAGGCCTTCAGTGACTACCTTGCCCAACGAAGCTGTGTCACTGAAGGGGAAGCAACTGAGGACGCTCAGTTGTGTACCTGCTTGGTTAAAACTGGTTAAAACTGTTGACTTCGGTTCTGTTCATGCGCTGTTTGTTTTCTATTCCGTTATCCATTTTCAGCAAGCGATTTTTTGCTGTTGCACTGCAATTTGAAATCTGGTTTCACGACCGCTTCGACCTTTTCGACCTCTTCAACCTTGCGTTCTTGGATACAGCCTTGACAAGGTCTACCAGGTAGGAATTGCCAAATCTTTTAAGTTAAAACCCTGCAGAACGAACTATCCGCACGATTCGACGCGACCAATTTGGAACCAGCTCCAATTCTTAAAACCAGTCCAGTGTGTGTTCCTGAAATGGGGTACCTAAAAAACATGGGTTTTGCCGTGGAACATGACCATAATGGGGATGAATCCAAGACAATAATACCCTGCTTGGAGGGATGAATATCCATTTTACCATGTAGATTTAACTATTGAATTACTTCAAGTGCCCCACTACCGGGGAAAAATCAGGGTCTCAGTTTCATTTCCATGCAATTTCATACATCCAAAAGCAGGATCTCTTCAAGTGCCCCATCCCTGTATTTCTCCCATGTGTCTGATTGCTGGAAGCTTGTTCATGAATGGACAGTGAGCTTGGATGGTCGTTCCTCAATGAATCTGGAAATCTTACAATCGTGCCCCCCCCACACACAAAAAAAAAACAGATAATACACAGATATTATCAAGTCATTGTCAAGTCAACTTCAGCCTGTGCCAAGGTTCTCATAGAGCATGGGAGCATGACAAAGAAATGCAAAGAACATGCTTTGTGAGGCCCACAGCAACTGGGTTCGCGACAGATTCCACTCTTTTGATGAGGGAAGGGTGGTCATGGATCAGGTTGTTCTTCATGTCCACCCCTCAGCAAACACACGTCTTAGCCAGACCAATGGAACCAGGCTCAAATCACCCTTAAACAGGAAAGCTAAAGGTTCTGATTCTCTGCAAGCTGAGGTGACTGGTTTGAAATCCGCAGGCAGAAAAAGTGGTTGGTTTTTCCAGCCACCCATCTTAGCTTCCCTGAAAATGAGTGTGTGACCAGCAAGTGCAAACCTGTACAGCTTTGAATTAATATTAAAGACGGGGCAACACAAAAATGATGGGCTAGTGCCTTCAGCATTAATGAGGTCCCATTTTTTGCCCAAAAAGTCCATGTGCGAATCAATGTAAGCTGCACCAACACACCAAACTTTAGTAGACACCCACCAGAACCTCTGGTTTTGTCTTGGATCACTTAATTTGAAATTCCCACATGGAAACTTACTGTTTATTAGGGGAGACGGTGGTGAATTACCCCCCTCTTCCCAGCAATAAAACACGAGTTCCATCGCAACGGGTTTCCCGACGCAGCGCAAATGCACTTCCCGTGTTGCCGCCTTGGGCATCTGGAAAGCGAGGCCTCGGGCAGCAGCTGGTTATGCCAAGTCATGCCAAGTTTATATCATGGTGAATCGGTTTTTGATTATGGTTCCTGTAATCATTTGTTGATAATCTGGTTTGTACCCTCTGGTAATTTAACATAGCTATTGAAAAGCACCATTTTTTTATGGGAAAATCCACTATTAATGGTCATTTTCAATAGCTATGTTAGTTTACCAGAGGGTAAGCCCCTTTGTTTTGGGCAGGCTTTGAATCCCGTTAGTGACACGATGGCTGCCACGAAGCCCTGGCTGAGCGTCCCTGACGGATGGCTGGGATGGTTGTAGAGGCACCTGGCAGCCAAATCCAGATGTCACAAGCGTCATCAACATCGGAAACATCAGCAACGTCAGCAACCTGCGCACCAACATCCTCAACATCATCGCATTGTTTCCAGTGTCAAAAATCAAAAGGTGTGTGTATGCATGCATAGGTATGCCATAATGTGTGTATATATATACACACATGCGCGTGCGCCAAGCTGAACTTAAAACCACCCATCATGTCCGGAAGTTGACACCATATATCATGCGGCATAACTCCAAGAATTTTTCACTGGTGAAAAGTCAAATCACCAGATCTACCATCTGGTTATTTAACATAACCATGGAAAGATCCACCATGTTTAATAGGTAAACCATCTATTTCTATGGGCCATCTATTCCATCTATACCATGGCGAACTGTTAGTCATAACCAGATGGTATGTTTCATGGTCAGCTCACCACGTTCACTCCCCAGGCCTCAGGAGCTCCTCCAGACCTTTGTCCGTGATGAAGTTATCGGCAAGGCCCAGCTCCCACAAAGGCTCAGGGCCTGACAGCGGGACGGCCTGAATGGGGGTAACAACCATAGTCTTGTAGGATAGTGGCCTTGAGATCCCACATATTATACCTGGCTTATAATATTTTATAACATAATATATGTATAACTGGGAAATGAACCACCAACTAATAGTTGAATATCGGATATCAACTTCATTTATCCGCCTGAGAAAATGGCTGACGAATTTGCTCACGCATCCCCAGTGGGATGTCCCAATGATTTTGAGCTCTGCACTGTGCCAAAGGTAGGCAGACAATGCGGTCATTGCCTGCAGTGACATTGACTGACTTCAAGGTTTAGTGTGCATTGATTTGCCTTCATGCAGCCGCCAAACTTGGAAACACGCCAATGCCTTGGGAATCCACCAAACGATCATTTCTGCGACATGTTTGATGGTTGATAAAGGAAATCTGCGAACATCCCATTATGTAGCAAAAACGTGAAAATCAAAATGCAAATGCACGTGTTGACTTCTTTTATTTGCGACGATTTGTACTGTTCTATCTTTTCACTTCACTGCTTGGCCAACTCATCTGGTTTGCATTTCCAAGCACAGAATAAGGAATATGCGCATCTCAAACCAACTGGGTTTCTGTACAAAATAGGGTGCCCCATACCCCCGCATGGATTATTAAAACCGCATGTTCCCCATGTTTTGGCCATAAATTGTAAGCCCCATCTGCCTGTTTTCCAGCCAATCATCTTGTTGGTTCTGTATCCCACAATGCCCCCATGATCTCCCCATCGGCCAGCGCAAGTTGATATCACCCACCTGGTCTCCCAAGCCATTGCCTGCTACCTGCGCCCAGGCTGATGAATTAGGAATTCTTGAGGATTTCTATCTCATCATTGGGGATGATTGTCCAGGGGCCCAGGGGATTTGTATGAGATTATGTATATATATATGATTTGATACCGTGATACAATTATTATGGGGCAAAACTCGTTTCAGTTGGCTTGTTCAAAAAACAATCAACAGAGAAACATGTTGCCCATCAAATATGCAGGAGGTTCCTGTAGATTGATTATTGAAATGATAATAAACTATGTCATGCAGGGATGAAATATCAAAATAATGGAATGTCACTAGCCCGTTGCATGCACTGCTTCAATTTTGTAGCCCGATTGATTTACACGAGGTCTTCAATCTACTGCGAACCTTTGGTTTCACACGTTCTCCGACTTCGACCAAACCAAATTGTAGGTACCTCCGAAGTAGACGGACTATTACTAGCCATCAGACCATCAGACAATATTCCTATGTGGCCAGGCACGGATTCAAATTACATAGCCACAAATATCCATCCCCAATTGGATGGTTGTGGGTTTAGCCACAAAAAAAATGAAACAAGATGAAGCCCACGAACCCGAATGCTCACACGTATGTTAATGGTACAGATGTCAAAACACATGGATATGCAGTCACGCACAACACTTTTCTGCAATAGTTTATTTGAACTGTCTTGTACATATTTCCCCTGTTACCAGTCTGCAGTGTGGAGTGTAAAGTGTGGAGTGTGGAGTGTAAAGTGTGGAGTGTGGAGTGTAAAGTGTGGAGTGTGGAGTGTAAAGCGTGGAGTGGGGACTGTAGAGTGTAAAGTGTAGAATGCGAAGTGTAAAGTGTAGAGTGTGGAGTGTAAAGTGTAGAGTGTGGAGTGTGGAGTGTAGCGTGTAGAGTGTGGAGTGAGGAGTGAGGAGTGTAAAGTGCAAAGTGTGGAGTGTGGAGTGTAAAGTGAGGAGTGTGGAGTGTAAAGTGTGGAGTGAGGAGTGTAAAGTGTAAAGTGTAGAGTGTGGAGTGTAAAGTGTGGAGTGTGGAGTGCGGAGTGCGGAGTGTGGAGTGTGGAGTGGAAAGTGTAGAGTGTGGAGTGTAGAATGTAGAATGTAAAATGTAAAGTGTGAAGTGTAGAGTGTAAAGTGTAGAGTGTGGAGTGTAAAGTGTAGAGTGTCGAGTGTGGAGTGAGGAGTGTAAAGTGTAAAGTGCGGAGTGTGGAGTGTAAAGTGTAGAGTGTGGAGTGTGGAGTGTGGAGTGGAAAGTGTAGAGTGTGGAGTGTGGAGTGAGGGGTGTGGAGTGTGGAGTGTGGAGTGGGAAGTGTGGAGTGTAAAGTGAGGAGTGTGGAGTGTAAAGTGAGGAGTGTGGAGTGTGTAAAGTGAGGAGTGTAAAGTGTAGAGTCTGGAGTGTAAAGTGTGGAGTGTGGAGTGCGGAGTGTGGAGGGTAAAGTGTAGAGTGTGGAGTGTGGAGTGTAAAGTGAGGAGTGTGGAGTGTAGAGTGTGGAGTGAGGAGTGTGTGGAGTGTAAAGTGTAGAGTGTGGAGTGTGGCGTGTGGAGTGTGGAGTGTGGAGTGGAAAGTGTGGAGTGTGGAGTGAGGAGTGAGGAGTGAGGAGTTTAAAGTGTAAAGTGTAGAGCGCTGAGTGTGGAGTGTGGAGTGTAAAGTGTGGAGTGTGGAGTGTAAAGTGTGGAGTGTGGAGTGCAAAGTGTAAAGTGTAAAGTGTGGAGTGTGGAGTGTGGAGGGTAAAGTGTAGAGTGTGGAGTGTGGAGTGGAAAGTCTAGTTTGTGGAGTGTAGAGTGTGGAGTGTAAAATGTAAAAAGTGTGGAGTGTGGGGTGTAAAGTGTAGAGTGTGGAGTGTGGAGTGTAGAGTGTGGAGTGTGGAGTGTAAAGTGAGGAGTGTGGAGTGTAAAGTGTGGAGTGAGGAGTGCGGAGCTTTCCCCATAGACACGGCGACGCCACAGGAAATCCAACGACTCGAGACGAGACACGTGGATGCAGAAAAACGAGCATTTCGTACGAGACTTCCTCCAATTTTGACATTTTCGACACGTTATCAAACACGTTGGAATGTCACAAAGTGCCACGCCTGCCACGCAAAACGACATGACAAGCTGCTTGGAAACCTTCGAAAAGGAGAGGTTTTGCGGCTTCCCCCATAGACACGGCGAGCCACAGGAAAACAGAGACTCGAGACAAGACACGTGGATGCAGAAAAACGAGCATTTCGTACGAGACTTCCTCCAATTTTGACATTTTCGACACGTTATCAAACACGTTGGAATGTCACAAAGTGCCACGCCTGCCACGCAAAACGACATGACAAGCTGCTTGGAAACCTTCGAAAAGGAGAGGTTTTGCGGCTTCCCCCATAGACACGGCGAAGCCACAGGAAAACCAGAGACTCGAGACAAGACACGTGGATGCAGAAAAATCAGCATTTCGTACGAGACTTCCTCCAATTTTCATAGTTTGAAACATGCCGCAAGAACATGTTTTCCAGCTTCCCCCATAGACACGGCGAGGCCACAGGGAAACCAGAGACTCGAGACGAGGCATTTCGTACGAGACTTCCTCCAATTTTGACACTTTGCAACTTCAAAATCGACGTTTTCCTACGAGTTTTCCTTAGAACCTGAAAATTTGCAACCTCAAAATCAATGTTTCGTGCGAGGCTTCCGTCAATTTTCAGCACATGTCAGAAAATGCCACGCCTGCCACGGAATTTGCACCTTGTCGCCACTTGACGCAGCCCTGCCAATGCGATTTACAAAAAACACGCAACAGGACACGTCTAAAGTGCTGCGCCTGCCACGAAAAATGACGACGGACACGTCCAAAGTGCTGCGCCTGCCACGAAAACTGCAACACATCTTCTGAAAACGTCACAAAAGTATTGCGCCTGCCACGCGAAACGATTTTCAACACGTTGCAAAACACGTCCGAATGTCACAAAGTGCCACGCCTGCCACGCGAAACGAAGCAACGACACGTCTGAAACCTCCAAAAATGACCACCTCTGCAAAACTTCCCATAGGCACGGCCATACGGACCTCGTACGAACGGTTGCGGACGGTTGCGAACGGTTGCGGACGCGGACGCAACGTCGAGCGAACACACTCTCAACCCCCAGACCCCCAGAGTGAAACGGGAACCCTTGCTACGCATTCGGGAAAAGGCCCTACAGTTGTTAGAATGGTTTGGAATAATCATATTAGGGTTATGTTCATCTCAGCTAGCCAGGGACTGGAAATCATGTTTTCTTTGCTGTTTCATGTGTTTTTTCATTTTGATCCTTTCTTTTCCCTCAAAAATCATCACTCCCTTTTTATCCCCGTTAAGTTGTTTTCATGTTTTTTTCATTCCTGTTTTTCCTCCCTTTGGCATGTTCATTTTTCCTGGTTTCCCCTTATCTGCAGCCTGTCCAACCCTAAGAAGGGTTCTATTACCAGCTGATGAGTGGTATCATGTTGTATCCATTCTTTACTTTTTACCTACTGGTAGTTATACCCACAAAATGTCATAAAAATCACCCCAACTGCACCCCCTGCAGGTGTTTTTTATCCACTTCCCCAGGACGCACCATGAGCCGTCTCACTGCCACACGAAGCTGGGTCATCTCTTGGAACAGCTTCGCTGCCTGCGAGGGACTACCTTGGGGTATGGCTAGTACGGCTAGTATGGCTATGGGCCATCCCCGGTATTGACTACTGACCCAGCCATTGTTTTAGTTCCAGATTGCAGAGGTTGTTTGTAAAGATGGGAGAGAAGTGACAAGAAATGTCTTCTCTTGTGTTCTCCCTTGACGTTGGAGATCGGAAATCAGCTTTGGGACTGGTGACTGGGGGATATGTAAATGTAAAATCCGGGCAGCAAGATAAGGGCGAATATCGGACGCTTGACAACGTTCGTTCACAACTAGTTTGCTGTTGAAGGCCAATTGCCAAGCGGGTCACGACCTTCTCAATTAGCGATACCCCCTTTGAACTTTGAAGATTATGCCATACCTGCGCACATACATCATGTTCCTTCAATAAGTGATACCATACATCATGTTTGTCGAAATGTGTAGGAAGCGATGGGAGCTCCCCAAATTTGTTGACGTCCTTTTCACAAACCTTGAGTTTCCCAGATTGTTCATATGAATGGGGGAATGGTTTTGACTTGACCCATACCTATATGCCCCAAAGTGAGCAGCCCAGTTTGGGACCCAATCAGAAGTTTTCTGAGACTTTCCGCAGTGATTCCAAGTTTGATAATTTTGAGGTGAGGAAGCAGAGGAAACGATCTTGGGGTCGGGTCGAAATGAGTCCCCAGATTTGGGATATACCAAGATATACCAAGAGTTTCTTATTTCATTTGCATCTGCTGCATGAGAGTTTCTACGGAATTACTGGCACCAACACATACTTGAACCACTTGTCAAGATGTCAAGAAGATATAGGTAGCGTTACTTGGATAATTCTGGGACAAAGGAATCAACCAATAACCACCTTCTCTTTGGATATCGCAGAAGTCTGAACCGCCAGAAACCCCAGAAGCCTAGTCAGTTGATGTTAAGTCCCATCGCTTCCCTCATGTTTGTACAATTTCTGAAAACCGATGTCCATCCCTTACATGTTTCCTGTCGGCTCATATGACATGATGATTTCATACGGTATAGATTTTGACCCCCATTTCTTAGCTGCGGCTTCTCAAGCCGAGTTGCTCCAGAGTCCTGCAGGGCAATGCCACAGACCTCAGGATTGTTTCGTCCCACGAAAGAAGCTAAGGGTGATGGCCTAACAAGCTCCCGTCATTGCCGTCATGGTATGTTCGTGGATCAACATATACTTCGAAAGCCAAACGTGGCATCATCGTCCCTTGGATTTGCTTCAAGGGTCCCAACAGAATTAGAGAACCGATTTTTCCCACAAAAGTATGACATGTACATGTCTAATTATGTCTATACATGTTCATATTCACATAGATGTTCCCTATTGTTCCCTATAGATTTCCCAAATTTTCCCAACATGTTGGAGGTTTCCTTTGCCAAAACTCACCCAGCCACCCTACAGGACCCGTAGGCTTCCGGCATCCAACATCTCGAGACAACAATGTGCCCCGGTCGATGCCTGGCAGATAATCGACCTCAACGGGGGGGAATCCCCGCTGTGGAAAATCATCCCATCATCTGATGAGAATCAATAAAGCTCAACTATGTGTGTGTGTGTGTGCGTGTACATATAGATATATGCATGTAGGATTTGATTGAGTCCAAATCAAAGACATCTACAAATGAGGGATTGACATGATAGACTCCACGGGGCCGTCAAAATCTGGGGACAAAGCATTTTAGCAGCATTAATTCATCACATTTTTGTGGTGAGGCCTGATTCATCAACCAGGATTGATTAAAATCCCAGGTTGACATTTGTACCTCAAATCCACTGATGATCACATTCCCCATCAGGCCATAAATTGCTAGAAATTGGGGGCCTAATTTGCAGTGCACAGGGATGGGTCAAAAGTTGAGTATCCCTTAGAATTTCAGTGTTTATTCGAACATATTCGAACTGATTAACCCAAATTTCCGTGTTGTTAAGTGCCGCAAACAGATCGGGGCTGCATACTGCGCTGTGCTCTGCCGAATCTCTGCCAGCAAGGTGTCAATGCCTAAATGGTCAAGACTTGGAAATGGTTTTGTCCGGAAATGAGTGATGTCATGGGAATACTGTACTGTACATACATACATATGTATATATATACTTATTCAGATTCATATAGATGCAAATAATATATAATGTATACTACTACATATGTATATACTATACATAATATATAACTATTATATATATATGTATGTATGTATATATATACATATGTATAGCCAACAATATGGGGACATATGTGTCTGGGTCAACATGTACCAGGGGAGCACAGATTTGTTCCATTTTTAGTCCTCACCATCCCATTAACCATACAACGAACAGGTTGGTGATATGGTAGGGGTATATTGAGAATACAATGGGATGGTAGGGATGTATAGTCTACAATATTATTCAGGTTCGACATGAGAAATTTGGTACTTGCCCCCGATTTACAATCTGACAATGTCAAAGGTGAAAATGATAATTGTAAACCATAGCATGAAATGGGATACTCTACTTGCGGACAAAACCAAAAGGCTGGTCACCTTCCTTACAACCTTTTTACCGTATCACGGATTGTTATTGGGCCAACACATGTTCACTCACCTCTTGCATAGATCTGTCGACCAAGGGAGGGTTTTGCTATGGCGGTTCAATGTTAGATATGTTAGGAGTGTCAGAGAGGCCTCAATCGTTTCTCCATGCTTATCCCGTGATATCACAGAGCATACACCGCTGAACTTCACAATGGATGGCTTGGAAATGGGGTCCACCGGTCTACCCCAAATAAAATTCTGCTTTATCAGCATCTTTCCCATACCTCAAATTGCTAGAGGTATCATGAGGTATCCCTATTTGCAGACACCCTGAACAACTTTTTTTGGTTAAAGGTCCCGTTGCATCCCCCAGTGTATTCCACAACATATTCACATATCCCATAGTAGTCCCATAAAATGCTTGGATTACCTATCATTTCCCACCAATGATCTCCAAGTTCCATCCTTGGCACCCCAAACTCACAGGTTTGCCAGGCTCAGCGCGCTTCGTGATGTATGGCCCTGGTAAATTTGAGCCGCCAGAATCAGCTCGATCTGGTGGCAATCAAATGCCTTGATAGAAAATAGGCTGTTCGCTGATAGAATAGCTGCTGGATCCGTTTCATATGGGAAATATGGTGGGAATCCGGATTGGCACCTGATCCAGCTGGTGCGTTGAAGCCAGCGCCATACCTTGGTTGGCCCATCTCTTGGTCATATTAATTGACCCATAAAGGGCCCAAAAATGAAGTGGAATTCTAAAAAGCGTTGTGAATAATCTCAGGAGAAAGGGATTATCTATCAAACATTATGACGTAAGCATCATATCCGCCGAACATTGGGATTCAATCTACCAAATGTGGGCTTCTAGCCATGCTGATAAGGAAAATTAGGTTTTAAACAAGGGGATGAGGATGGAATTGAGGTCCCAAAAAAAATCAGAAAACGTCATGTAGGTTTTGACATGCTGCTGGTGTGTTGGGGGTTAGATAAGCCCGAAGCCCATTTGTGACCTTGATTTTGGATGGTCATACCGTCATACCTGCCTCCAAAAAATGGTTCACTTGGGTTTCCAAGAAGGTGCACAATAAGTCTTAGTAGTATAACTATGGAAACAAAAACAACTGGTATAGAAATAACAAATGGCATAGGATTGACATAATATTAGAATTCAATCAGTATCTATATTAATCTATATTTGAGGAAAAGGTTTTGTTGAAACTATACGTCGCAGTGCAATCACATGACTCAAAACGACGGATCATTCTTGTATATGCCCAACATGAAATCCGACCAAAAAAACTTCCGTGATTTATCCGAACAACCAGATTCAATTGACTCAACCATCCATATCTGGAGAGTTCATCGCTTGAGGTGCTGCTGCGCTGGCGACGCCGGCGTTTCCTTGCGTTCGGCGTCGCGGTCGGAGCGGCGCCGCCGACGGGAGCCTCGGGACGGAGACCCAAGAAATGGTGAAGTGGGAAACTAGACTAGAATATAAAATTAATAGAAATAATGATGATGATGATAATAATAATAATAGTAATGATGTATTAATCATGTATAGTATGTTAATGTATATTCTAGTATTCTAGTTCATCATTGAGGAGGAAAACTAGAAATTGTTTCAGAACATCAGACAAAAAAATGATAAAATTACCGAGAAATGTATCTCACAAAAATCAGGAATTCTATCTCACAAAACTGAACATTATCAAAGAAAAGTTGGGGAATCTTATTTCAACAATTTTGATAATTTTGTCATCTTTGTTGGAGGAATTTCCCCAGATCCAGGCCACCCAACGATCGCGTTCCCGCTCCTTGTCGGGTGCACTCCTGGTATGGTTCAAAATCCTTGACCCTGAAGAGTTGGTACGACCAAACATGACTAAGTCGGCTAAGTGTGTGGTTCGATTGATTTGTACAACCAAAGAACCACACACTTTTTCGGCTCAACTCAAAGAATCAACATGTACAGCCTGCGAATGATGCTTTGATCCACAAATCGGAAAATCAGCCCGTGTTCAATGATAGCCAACAGGAGAACACATCACTGTACCAGGACTTCATGTCAATCCAATACATCGGTGTATCTGCACCCTTCAGCACCATAATTCGAGAAGAATATGATGCCTCCATCACACCTCAAGTTACAGTAGGGCCGAACTAAAATCCATTGAATCTATGTTAAGTTAACTAAGTTAGGTCACTGTTGAAACCTATTGAAGCATTCCCAAATGGCATTCCCCAGCTTCACCATATACCTTCTGCAAGGCCGATGCTCTGAGCCCGCTACGCAGCCGCTGGATGACCTCTTATCATTGGGGGATGGGTTTGATCATAGAAGATTCGTGCAGAGATTCCTCCCAGAAGTGGCTGAAGGGAAAATTTAGGAACGACCTCCCACCTTGGAGGTTTAAAACCAAGGCGTTCATATAAATGGTCCTTTCATGTCCTTTCAACCAATCACTTGAGTTTACAGAAATGGATTGATTTTTCGGGTCTACCATCTTCTAGCAGACTACTTAAGGATGTGTATCTCAGGAATCGTAAGTGTTTCCTCAATTGCAACCAAGTAATAGCTGGAGTAGACATCCCATTTTTGGAACTGGGGAACTAATCATAATTATTAACCCTATGCCAATTGGAATGCACATCCAGCATCATCCAACTATAAAATATGTTTTGTCTTTCAGGGGCTAAAATCTGAAATGCTCACAGCTCAAAGTTGTCAATGGAATACAGGATCGTGTTCACCGCTTCCTGCTGGCATGAGGCCATCAACACCCGATATAAAAAGTTTCGCACCAATCGTCACTCATTGGGAAACCTATATAGACATATATATATATATGATATTAGATTATATTAGCATCCTAATGCCATCTACCCATATGGTCATCTTCAAGCAAGTTTCAAGCAGCTAAGGACTTGGACAAGCCAATGTGGTCCATCCGATTTGGTTTCAATATGTGCCATGGTCAAAGCATGGTGGGCCATGGCGGCTATGGGAATCCTACAATGTTGGGAATCCTGATCATTGCCACTGTAATTTCCTATTAATGGTGGCATGACCATCAACCAATATGGGTACAATATCATTTGAGGGCTGTGGAGATGTGAAATGCAACAAGGTTTTGGAAGGGCAAGAAGTGGGTCATTGCGCAGACCCAATCAAAATTGGCCAGCTTCATGCGCTCTCTATATTCCAGCACTCAGTTTCTCTTCACCCTACCAGTTTTCTTTAAATATTCATATTGCTCCCAAAAATAGGCACCTCAAGTACAGAAAATCATGTTGCACATGTTTATGTTTAGTTGACCATTTATGGACCATTTATGGATGTATATTGGCTATAAATTTCGAGGGCCTCAAATTTCCCCCATAGTGATCCAGTTGGCCCACCTGGCGGATGTCCTGCAGCCTGGCGGAAAAAACTGATGCTTTCATGGGATTTAGTGGCCTTTGATGCGATTTAATGGGGTTTTAATGTGGATTTTAAGGTGAATACTGGGATTCAGTGGATTTGATTTGGCATTGACCAACCCAATTTCAGGAATATAATGCGGATTTGAAGTTTACAAAGAAAAGCTATGAAATGGAACTGATGTTTTATGAACTAAACTGCAGGATCCCATGAACCAAGGTGTTTGCAAACGCTCGTGAAATGTGTTCTTTGAGCATGGTACCCTGCAACAAAGCCATTGTACTGGTGATGACTGGTGGGGGTCCCAACTTCACCCCCCGTCAAGTGACCCGCGAAAGAAGGCCTTCATAAGCCCGTGCTGAAAGTTGATGGTTGAGAACCGGCAAAATTAAAAGTGTATAAACACTTGGAAGGCACTCAAGATTCGCATGATGTGTAGCTTGTCGGAACCATTGCTGTAAGTCAACTAGTCGGTTTCATAACAATGATTTATTCAAATCTCTAATGTCTCTGCTTTTCGATGACTTGCCTTTGGGACAACCATTTCAAACGTCCCCTTGTGACCCCCCTTGTGACCACCCGATCATCCCCCAAAAAGCCACGCCCAAACGGTCCAAATGGATGGGTTTTCCACATGTTTTCACCATCTCCGCTGAGAATCACCTGATTTTGGCCAGGAAATTTCGATCAAATCCTCTAGGGTCTGTTGGGTCTGTTGGCTCACGCCTCTGGGCCAAGTGGAGCGCCTGGCAACCCAGGTAACAATGTTCACCATCTTTTTTGCTGCTAACAATGTTCACCTTCCATATTTTGGGGTGTACTAACTTATTTGATTGCCCAAGTGTGTGCAGAAATTGTTTTCGCGGTACCAGATTTTGACCCATCGAAAGTTGATGTGAATCAATGTGAATCCTTTGTAACGATCTGATTGTGGAAAACCGCGCCCTTTTGGAAACGTTCCCAGCTGACAATTCCGGAGAGGAAAGGGAAGGACAAGCACCGTGCAACTGTCTCATGGCCCCATGTCCTTGACTGGACAATGTAAAAGGTTCTGTTGGGCGATCCTATGTAAACCTATCCTGAATGAAAAAATTAACCTTTGAGTGAGTGCATCCAAGGCTTTCTTCAAAGCAGAATTCAACTTTGATGGTCATGGTTCTCTTGATCTTGCATCATGAGGTGGAGGGACCATGCAATGTCATGCAAACAAAAGCCCATCATACATAAATATAAACAGAATTAAACAGATGAATTAAATAAATACATATAAAAGAGAAATAGATAGAATAAATTCAATGTATGTGTGTAAAGTAACAAGTAATTAATATATATATATATATGGTGCAGCGTTGGCCACCCCCCCTCCCCCCCCCACCAATGGGTATGGGTGGACAGTATCGTCTGGTTCTTCTGGCCCCCCCCCCGTGGTTGTGGTTGTATGGTTCTTCTGGTCCCCCCCCCCTGTGGCCTGTGGTGGTGGTATGGTTTCTGGTCCCCCCCCCCGTGGCCTGTGGTGGTGGTATGGTTCTTCTGGTCCCCCCCCCCTGTGGCCTATGTGGTGTATGTGTATGTATGTATGTATGTATGTATGTATGTATGTATGTATGTATGTATGTATGTATGTATGTATGTATGTATGTATGTATGTATGTATGTATGTATGTATGTATGTATGTATGTATGTATGTATGTATGTATGTATGTATGTATGTATGTATGTATGTATGTATGTATGTATGTATGTATGTATGTATGTATGTATGTATGTATGTATATGTATGTATGTATGTATGTATGTATGTATGTATGTATGTATGTATGTATGTATGTATGTATGTATGTATGTATGTATGTATGTATGTATGTATGTATGTATGTATGTATGTATGTATGTATGTATGTATGTATGTATGTATGTATGTATGTATGTATGTATGTATGTATGTATGTATGTATGTATGTATGTATGTATGTATGTATGTATGTATGTATGTATGTATGTATGTATGTATGTATGTATGTATGTATGTATGTATGTATGTATGTGTGTATGTATGTATGGAATGTAAGGTAAGGTAAGGTAATGTAAGGTAAGGTAATGTAAGGTAAGGTAAGGTAATGCAAGGTAAGGTAATGTAATGTAATGGTATGTATGTATGTAATGTATGTATGTATGTATGTATGTATGTATGTATGCATGCATGCATGCATGCATGCATGCATGTATGTATGTATGTATGTATGGAATGTAAGGTAAGGTAAGGTAATGTAAGGTAAGGTAAGGTAATGGTATGTATGTATGTACGTAGGTATGTAGGTAGATAGGTAGGTATGTATGTATGTATATACACCACCACAGGGGCATCATACCCCCCCCCCATCCCATGGGGGGGGGTGGGAACACGGGACACGGGACCATATATACGTATTGCAGATTGATCAATGATACGCCTCTGTTAGTAATTTTAGTACACCAACGAAAGAGGCATGACCCAGTCCTTTGCACCGACAGATAAAGGTGATGGTTCTGAGGAGTCCCTTGAGTAGAAGACGCCAATCTGAAATTCTTCAGTGATCTCCTTTCAAAAACCATCAAAATCCAAATGGTGGCAAATACACGTGTTGTGGGCTGTCACTACATATCTTGAACTGAACGTGTATTCGCTGAATGTCCCCGAACCTTGCCAGTGATTGCGAGTGGAAATCAGAAACCCCGTTTCGCTCTGACTTTGCCAACCATCCAGACCAACTTGATCCTGATTGAAACCCTCAACCTGCCTGGTCGCGGGACTGCATACCCTGTGCAAAGAGAGACATTGAGTGGGAAATTGCGGGAAACCGCTATGATACGGCTGTGGGCAAATCAAAAAACTACACCCCAAACCAAGTAGGTTTCACATGAATTATGGCAACATGTTACATGCTGGGATGTGAGTGCCCTGCTTGCTCCTACTTTGGTATTGAATCTTCTCATTTCGGGAGCCCATAGCGGGTTGTTTCTCATGATCCCAGGATGCGATACCTGTTTGCCTGGATGACCAGCTACCAATCTCCACCCATCCCCAACTTGGTATGCACCTGGGTCTGGATGCGGCCTGGGGCTGGTTGTTTTGGGGAGATATGCCTTTTCAGCACCTATGGAGACCTGGGTGTGAGGCCGAAATGGTAGTCATGCCTTTGGCTCTATGCCATTTCACATCCTCTCCTTATTTGTCCACATCACATGCATGTGTTGCCAGACTACCAGCTCAGAAGTGAGCGGGTTGAGAACAATTAGTGCTGACATGCCAAATAATCAAACATGGATGATCCCTCCCTACTGCGGAACGGTGCCCTGATGTTTGTTCACCACAAGGTGCGTTCGAAACCCGTGGCAAAGCGTTCTCTTTTCCAAATGGCGCAGCCTGGGTCTGAGGAAGGCTCTTGACCCCAGCCTAGCCTGGCGAGGGTTTCGCAGACTACATCTATTGGATTGAGGAGAGCAAGGTTCCAAAGCCGAAGGAACCTTACTCTCCTCGATCCAATAGATGTAGTCTGCAAAACCTTCGAAGCGATCCTTGTCTTTCAGATTTTCACTGTCGAAGTCATCATCGCGGCACTGATGCTTCCCTGGTTCATCGTCCTCAAGAACCCCGTCGGGGATCGCTAGTGTCGTAGACAAAGAACCTGCAATTGATCTTCCCAACCTTGCCAAAATTCACCTTCAGGCACTGATCGGGTGTCGCAACCTTTTTGTGTATAGCCAATGTGGGTTCGATCATCTTCTGCTGGCAAGGCTGGTCAAACTCGGAAAAAAGTAGGATGGCAAATCTCAGACAAACCTGATATTAGGTTTGTCTGAGATCTGCCATCCTACTTTTCTCCGAAGGCAGGTGTTGAAAACATTTCTCCACGTTTGATCGGGGCAGTGCTGCATCTTTGTCTTCAAACCGTTCAATGTGCTCAGGTGGTGCTGCCGGCATCAGAGCGGCCGAAGGCTGCAGGCCCGGTTGAGCTGCTCAGACGAGGGAACACACAAAAAGGCAATCAGCCAACGAAGGCGTTTCCCGCGGCACACCGGAATGGGTGGATGAAAGGAAAGCGTTTGAAAGAATCGCGTGCTTGAGTTGCAGAGAGCTAATCAAAAAAATTGTTCGCAATGGTGGGTTTCGACCCCCATTTCTGAAAGCTGGAAATATTCCATACCTGGAATCTCCTAAGTGGGTCTCGATAGCACTTCAAAGTTTCTTCCGTTGTTGTTCCGCATGAAAGCAATGACATGAGTTTGACGGAAAATAGGGTACACTCCCAAAAAAATGCCATGTAAATAAGGGAAACGATGATAATCCACTCAAATTGGGGGCGTCCCTTTTTGGGTACATTGTACAGTTTCAATCTGACAAGTGTTGACTCTTGCAGCAGGTCAATATTGAGGGTGAATGGTTCCCCCGCCGGATGGTGTTCTCTGTAACCGGTCGGGCATTACATGTCATTACTCCCTTCGCCCAATCATCTTACATGCCCCCAATGAAGGGACCCAAAATGAATAGCTGATCCAATTCCAAATCAGTTGCCATGGCTCTAAGCCTTTGATGCAGACAAAAACCACACGACCATGAATAGGACCCGCTAGGTTCCCAGACGGAGGAAATCCAGGCCTCAGGTAATCTCGCGGAGATAGGGTCCCTAAAATTTCCCAAGATAATAGTTTGGGTTCCACCAGGAATGGATCCAAACTTCGTTTTTTGGGGAATCCCAAAATGAACAAATCATATACATAGACATATATATACATATACATTTACATATACGTATACATATACATATACATATACACTTGCCTCTACATATGCATTCACATATACATATACATATACATTTACATATACATATACATATACATTTACACATACATGTACATATACATATACATTTACATATACATATACATATACATTTACATATACATATACATATACATATACTGAACGGAGTTTTAAGCAGTTCAAACTGAGCTGGCACCCCTTTTCTCCACCAGGCTTGTGCCACAGAATAGAGCTACTTGCAGCTCTTGAGCCATAAGTAACATGACATGCTGTGTACATGGCGAAACATGCTGACTAACACTATGAGATACCGCACATCGAATCACCCCTCCTAGGCCAGGCGGTGACGTTTCTCACCCATTGGCCTCACACAAGTTGCTTGGCACCTTGGGCTCTTCCCTCGGTGAACTTCAGTCTCATCGTACGAAGGTGTTCGTCCACGGCAACGTCGGGTAATCGTTTAGCGCAGGTATCTGAGACATTCTGCGACGTTCCTACTTTCTCCAGGGTGAGTGCTTTTCTTTGTACCTTTTCTTGTGCACATAGATAGCGCGTCTCCACATGGCGCGTCTGACCTAAGCCTTGACGTTGTGTCATTCCTAGTGCTGCCGAACTGTCAGACTTGACTCTCAAAGAAACTTCTAGTCCCCAGTCGGATAGAAATGCCTGTATTGCTAGTCCGGTTGCCGCAGCGCGTACGATAGCGTAATATTCGCTTTCGCCAGAAGACTATCTAGTAATGTTTAATGCAATGTGATCCGAACATTGTCACTAGTCCGGTTGTCGACCTCCGCGGGATGATACATCCCGCGTGATCTGAATCAGAAAACACTGTAAGCGCCTTTTGGTACCGTTGCGGCCAATACTCTTAAACGGGCCTCTGTCGACCACGTAGATATCGACCCAGTCTCTTCAGGTCGTTGTAGGCACTTTCATGTGGTGTCGTTCCAATGATTTCGTAGCCTCTGCCAGATTGGGTCGATCTTGGGCTAGAGATGCTGTTCGCATCGTCAAAGATCTGTATTGCCGCTGTAATCCATCATTCAACGACGGACGTTCGAGTGATTTCATTGCTTCGCCGTGTTTCTTCTTTTCGGCAGGTGTCTTTGCTGGCTTTGCCTTTTCTAGACCCAACTCGCGGACAATTGCTTCACAATGTCGCGGGTCTGCTTCGTAGGCTACCAAACCGCTGTCAGGGTGATAGGTCACCATACGATTCAGTACCGACATGCTTTGCTTGGTCTGCCCTGGTCCGATATGTCCACCGCACTTGAACTCGTACCGTTCACGTAAAACACGATCTGCAATTGCGTGACCCTCTTCGTCGGCCAGTACCAAGAAGTCATCTCCGTGCACCAGCAATCGTATTGGTCGCTCTTCGTGCAGGAAGATACATGGCCAGGCCTGGCCTGTTCTGAACCCATGTTTCTGTAACAGAGACGTGCTGCCTTTCTGCCACGTCGAACTCGCATCACGAGTCCCATACATGGTTTTGAGCCATAGTCCACGCATACCAGGGATTTCGTCTCCCTCTGATAAAGTGACGAAAATCCGTCCGGTGGCTGCCCCATAGAAATGGGCCCGACTAACGTCAGTCAGCTTCAGTGTAACGCATCAGCTTAAGCGCCTCTAACGGGGGCATCGAACTGAACAGTGAGTATTCTGGTAGCATGGCTGCATCGCCCTTGCTCTTTACTTCTCGTACTACCTGTCTGCTCTGATAGTTCTCATGGACACTGTCGCCCTTGTTTCTGTCTATCCGTTTTAACGTTATCGGATGTCTGCCGGTTTCAGCGTAGCAAGTATCTTCACTGATCTTCTTATACGCCCCTTGTCGCTTGACCCATTCTAGCTCGGATGCACGAGCTTCTGCCACTTTCTTTGGGTCGAGTGTCACAACTGTGTTGGCGTCCGTCACTGGTTCACCGACGTCTAGATCACTTGCTTTCGGAAGAGCGCTATGGTGATGTTCTTCAAAGTTCGCTTCCTCATCTGGGCCTCCCACATGACCAATCTCCTTCATGTCTCCATCTAGCACCAACTTCGGAGGGTATCTGAGCTTCACTTTGACCTTCCCCTACTCGAACACGAGGCAAAATTTCCATGCAAGAATGTGTGGTGATGATTCTTTGCAACAACGCTTGAGAGCGGAAGCTATTACTGCTGAATTTGTGATCCAGCTAGTCTTCTTCTTCAGCTTGCTTCCTGCCAAAGCCTTGCCAGATTCGTCAACTGACCACACACACACACACACATTGGTCCTTCTACGGTGTAGGACTCTTCGCTCAAAGATTGATATTGAGCGTGTTCCCAATATTTCATTCCTCTTGGACGCTCTTGCAGGTAGTAACGCCCTTCGTGCACTTGGTGTTTGTAGCCTCCAAGGCATGAACGTCGGATCACCCAAGGAGCTCTGGTCGGCCAGAGTATCAAACGTGGTGAACCTTGCTCGGTTCAGCTGCATGAGACTCGAGATCCGGTGGCAGCATCGCTTCCAATGCCGCTGTCTTGATCTGGTCTGGGATGCTCGTCCTGTTTCCTGCTGCATCTCGTCTCTTCTCGTAGGTTCTGACCGCATCCATCCATTCTTCTATTGCTTGAGGCAGAGATTCTAACTTCTGCTTTTGTAAACTGATCACAGTCTTCAGCATGGTTCGTTTTCGTGATTCAGTAGCTTAACCCACTTGCTCCGCTGGTTGATCACGATGGCGAAGGCTTCTTTCGCGTGACCATCTGCAGTGCGGAAGCTAACTCACTGCTTTTCTCGGCAAGGTTAGAGACCTGATCCAGTGCATCAGCTTCATCGCCGAATGCCTTTGACAGTTCTTCTGAGCAGATGCTCTTCTCCCTTTCTTCACACCATTCCAGCACCTCTAGTAGGTCTGGATACACAGAGCAGATGTAGCTGGACATCCTGTGCCTCCACAGCAGGAACTGTTCAGCTTCACCCGAGTATACGCTTGGCTTTCCTAACCCTTTGGTGTCAACAAGACACGGTCGGTCTTTTTCTTTCCTGGAGTCTTGTACAGCTTCTTTCAACGCAGTTTGCAGCGCTTGTCCCATCTCTCGGATGGCTGGCACCATTGCTTGTGCACCTAATGCTGCTTGGGTTGCCTCTTGTCTCACTTCTTGCAACCTCTGAGCATTCTCCTGCCTTAGCACATCCATCTCTTGTGCATGTCTCTGACTTTGTGCTGTCAGCTCTTGTCCAACACTCTTGGGTGGCCATTTCTTCTTCTTGTCCTCCTGAGGTGAATTTCTTAAGTGGGCGCTCAATCCTCTCGAGGATGGGACCTTGACCGCTGTCTGAACGCTTGGCTCAGACCAAGGTGCTGCAATTGCAGCCCCAAGTTGTGGCAGAGGTGTTACAACCTCCGCACACGCCTGAGTTTCCTGATCAGGCTTTGCCACCTCAACACGTTTGGCGTTGCTCTGTTCCTCCGATGACAGCAGCAACGTAGACACATCCACGGACGCTCTACACCGAGAGCTCCGCTACCATCAACGGAGTTTTAAGCAGTTCAAACTGAGCATTCACTCCTTTTCTCCACCAGGCTTGTGCTGCCACAGGCTAGAGCCACTTGCAGCCCTTGAGCTATAAGTAACATAACATGCTGTGGACATGGTGAAACATGCTGACTAGCACTATGAGATGCTGCACATCGAATCATATACATATACATATACATATACATATACATATACATATACATAGACATAGACATAGACATAGACATAGACATAGGCATAGGCATAGACATAGACATAGACATAGACATATACATATACAGATACATATACATATACATATACAGATACATATACATATACATATACATTTACATATACATATACGTACGCATACACATACACATACACATGCACATATATATATATATACACCGTATATTCCACGTGGCTTTTTGGGTGGCTTTGATCATTGGGATGTGGTGTTCAAAATCTGCACGACAGGATTTACCAACTCAAGATTGGATTGGATGACGAGAATGAGAGAATGCAAACTGTATCACCACTTGCCACAAGTCTTGAAATCCGCCTGGGAAGCCTGGGGAATACCTATCAAGAGTATTCCAAAGTTGTTTGCCAGCAAAATGTCAAAAAGGCCAATGGCACTAGTCCCCACAGCTGATAGTAACATCCACACCATGTTTCTTGCGCTCACTTTTCTGGTTGCCACAACAACCCACCAACATTTAATCTTCAACCCATATCTTATTTTGGTTTATGAACCCACAGTGCCAATCATCACAAGCAGAAGTGTTGGCATGCGTTGGCCCCAATAGCCTTCACTATCCATTGCGTCAAGGTGGGATAATATGGGATAACTCCGGGGTAACCCAACCATACCCAACCCATCGCCCCAACAAAACCGCAACACCGTGCATCTCAGCGACGCAAAGGGTGGCGGATAGCCAGGAATGGGCGGATAGCCAGGGATACCTTGGCTGGTGGTCCTGTCGGTCAAATGTCAATGTGGTTTATCAAGATCGACGAGTCCATCCAAGTGATTCCAATTTGGGATGTTTTCCCTTTGATCCGTACCCATATTAGAGATAAGGATAGTTATTGTGAGCTTTTAATTAGTCATGATGAACCACTTCAATCATGATGACAATGATGACCAGATATAGAGGTGGGTCGCCAGCCACAGGGACGTGATTGCCAGGGAAGCATCCTGCTGGAAAAAAACGCGAATGGCTCTGATTTCCGGGAAACAAAGTTGGGAAAGATACAACAGAGGTTGATTTATATAACCGATCCAACAGTTGCTTTGGGGAACTTATTTTCACAATGGTTGGGTTATGTCATCCTGTTCTGAGGCACCCCACCATGGGGTGGTGGATGATAGGGTGGCCTTGGCCTTAGCATCTATGTACCACTGCTATCCTCCCGCAGCGGGACCAATGGTAAGATATATATGAACATATTCTCAAATGTATCATGCTGTATATTCCGATGTAGGGTACCATGCTGGATCATACTATCTAGACTTCTGTGTTCGCTGGGAAACCGTCAAGAATGGCAAGGCTGGAAGACACGGTCTCGTCTATGGTTGAGTGGTGGTTTGGGCTGGTGGTTTGGAATTCCAGGGATGCCCCGTAATGATTTTTTTTTAAAGCGCCATGCATTCCTTGGCTGATTTACTCTACTCTGCATCCCAAAAACTTACATAAGGGAACACAACCACCAGTCCATAGACCCCTTTTCCCAATTTTCAGCAATCCATTTCTCCCTCTAAGTTGGCGACCCAAAGCCGTACCTGGACAAAACTGGTGCTATCAGCGCAGGCCAACACCGGCCCAATGGGTCAAGTCATGGAAGTACCACATGGACCCACAAACGGCTGGTCGTTTGACAACCATCTATTCATGGGGATTAGTAATCTTGGCTCATACTGCCAAATCACAATCATCATATCTTGGAAAACCCATCTTTTCCTTCTATTGCCTTCTTAGGGAGGCTTCATGGTTGAAGGGTGCAAACCTCATGAAACATTTAACTTCCCAGCACTTAAAGCCTTCATTTTGAGTGATCAGCATGGCCCTTGAAACTGGAGCAATGTTGGTCCACAAAGACCTATGATAGTAAAATCCTCAGTAATATACCATACCTCATTTCATTGTTTGGGCATTTCTTTGTGAATGTTGACATTGAAGTTTTCCACCCATCCCGGTGGTGCAGCTATTGAACCCGAGGGTCCCCACGGTGCAAGGTGAGGTGGTGGACCCATCGGACGCGCCTCAGGGACCAAAGATGTCAAGGTCCATGGCATGTCATGGTTACCCCAGTTACGAAGGAAAGGCTGGTGATGGCTGGTGATTTCAATGGAAAAAATTGCCGAAGATCCTGGATCACAAAATCGCACCAAAATGCAACAAGACACAAAGGACACAAAGGTCTACAAATCAAAACTTCAGATGCTGGTCCCCCAGGCCGCAGGTGCGTAGGGTGCACCAGGCGGCGGCGCCTCGGAGCAATGGATGGGGAATGTGCATTGCTAGAGGAAAACAACTTTCAAGAGCCTTTGATGATGAAATGGGTCTATGGAGTCTATGGGCAATACCCCCAGCCACAATTCAAGTCATGAGTTATCAGGATGAGCACAACCTCTTTCGCTCCAGATCTCAACCTTCACTAGATGCATGGACATCCCGCTGGCAGGGGTATTCCATCTTGCCCTTTTTATCTCGAGAAAGACGCCCAAGGGGAAGGGTTGAGGGTCAACCCCCAATTTTTTGTTAGCTAACCCGGAAGTTTTCAACACATCTGCCTGAAATGGAAAACCAAATAAAGTTATCTTGCTCGTCTGGTAGGTTCCAATCAATGGGGTGACAGGATCCAACATGAACCGACCCAGAGTGGAC